GTGCAGGAGAGTTGCAGCAAGAAGGTGAACAGAGGCCAGAGTGTCAGGTAAATCTTTGCAGCCCACTCTACATCTGTGCTTTCCCACCTTTGTGGCTCAGGAGCTACTGACTTTGCTGTGGGCAGCAACATGCCATTGGAAATGCACTGCAGCTGCTGGTCTGTCTGCCTCACCCTGCACAGCTTCGTTACCAGCAGATTTGCAGTTCATTAAAACATGTGGCCACAGAGTTTTCTTTTGAAAGACTCTCTGTCTGATCCTGTTTGTTGTTCTGTGGCAGCAGATTTTGTTATGGGGATCTTGCTCACCTTCTCCCATGGGTGTTTGCTGGACCTTCCTCATTGCCTTCATGGATTTAATCAGATTCATTTTCACAGCACCTGGGGAGAGGAGAGCTTTCAGTGGAAATAACAGACAGCTATAACAACAACAAGAATAAATTGGTGGAAATTATGGGCATCAGACTACAGGGAGGACCAGGTGCTGGACCACTGGCAGCTGCTGCATGAGCCAGGGGCTTTCCTAAAATGTTGGTTGGAGATTTGTTGCTTCTAAATGAAAGCATGATAGAGTCCTTGGTGAGAGTTAAGCATTGGGAAAAGGGCAGCAGGATGGTAGTGGGAGAGGAGCAATCACATCCCTCTCTAACAGAGACTTTTCTCCATGTGTATTTCACAAGAGTAGAAACTCAGTGTATTATTGTAATAGAATCAATTGTCTCGTATGTCTTGCATTAACATCACATCCTCATTGCTTGATAAGCACCAGTGAATGTATGCAGAATGCTTTAGACTCAGCTGTTGGTTTCTAAAGATTTTTAGGCTTCCTGCAAAGGAAAAGGACATCAAAAGCTTGCCCTTACCTTCCATGTGTCTCAAGGCTTCACGTATCTCCTGGCTGCTCAGATGAACCTTGCTGGCTGTGGGGTCCATGATGAAATTAAGGTCTTGAATGTTTTCCTCATCTCCTACAAGAGATGCTGGGCAATGTTTAAATGGAGCAGTGATTGGCTCTATGGGGATGTCTGAGCAGTGACAGTGGCAGTGAAGGAAAGGCAGAGACCCTCACCATTCACAGCAGCAGGAGTCAGCTCCTTTGCAGAGTCAGAGCCCTGACTATCCCTGAAGTCTGCGTCCTCTGTAACAAGAAAGTGTTAGAAACCTCCTTTCCATGCTGGCAGCCAGCGGAGAGAGACTTGGCAAAAAAATAAAGGTTATTATTATTATTAATAATAATAATAATAGAGACTCCTTTGCCTTTCACCTACCCTTTCCATCTGAGGATCTAAAGGACCTTAGCCACAATAATGCAATGAAACTCCCTCCCCTCCAGGCAGGGTGAGATGCTGAGGCCAAGAAAGATTAAATTCCCTCTTTATGGCCATTCATCACTCAATGATTCCCTCCATACACTACGCTGTACGTAATGCTCTCTAGACACAAAACCCCATTTCCTTTGATACACTGAGGAATGGTGCCTGTGTCATGCCAGGACACACAGAGCCACTCATGCCAAATAATGCAAAGCAAAAATTTAACACAAGATTAAAGGGAAGCGGGGAGAATTTCACCTCTGCTGCGTGCAAGGCATATCCTATACCATGGCCATCTGCAGGCACCCAGCAGCCTCCCTGAGAGTCTGGATTTCTGGCTGCAGGGGCTGTGCAGAAGCAGAAAACAAGGAAGGATACCAGTTCCCAACTACAGTGTGTCTGATGATCTGCTGCAGCACCTCTCTGGCTGAGATGACCTCACCAGTACCCACACTGGAGTTGGGGTCCTGACTGCTGGCTGCATCCCCTGGGGCACAGGGGGAGATGGAGCATGGCTAAAAGGGAAGTACTCCTGAGGAAGGAGGGGCTGACAGACAGACAAGAGCTTTCAGGGAGGCTCTTGGCTGCAGCTTTAAGTTTTTCTACAAAAAAGGAAGTTGACAACACTGAGAACACTCACATCCACAAAGGGCTTGGTGATTTTAGAGCATCTTGCCCCAAAACTGATTTCCAAATTTTTGGCCAGCTAGTCATCTAGGTTGGAGATCCAGGCTTCCCTAGAGCACAGCATTCTCATTTCAAGCTGACTCATTACAGTCCTGGAGATACAATAAAGGATAAATCCCAGAGCAACCTGGTCTGATCTCACAGCTGACCCAGCTTGGAGCAGGAGGTGGCACTAGAGACTTCCCAAGGTGCCTTCCAAGCTGCACTGTTCTATTATTTTGTGCCTTGGGAAATGTCAGTATGCTGACTATAAAAGTCAATTCCTTTCTCCTCTTTATCTCCAATTCTGAAGCTTTCTGCCTGGAAGACAATCCAAACCCTGAACACCCCAAAGTGCCAACACACTCACCATCCACAGGCACACCCCCCGAGGCCTGCTGGTGATCAATGTCCAGTAAATGCATTTCCGTAGGGGCTGGGTGAGACTTCAGCTCTCCCACATCACTCTGCTTTCCTGCAACCAATAGAGAAATGTTTTTCATTTCAGAAAGTTCCCTAGACCTGGAAAACACACTTCTGGATTGTGAATGGGACAGGATACACCTTGGACTAGCTGCATCAGAAGGAGCTTTGCTCATTTTTAGGTTTATTAGAAGACAACACACTTCTGCTTGCTGCAATGATGAGCGTTAAGAAGTGGGAAGCGTCTGCCTGAGTGTGTACAGAGATCCCCATCTAGTGGTCTCCAACACCAACAGCCTCGACACAGCCCAAACGTGCAGGTTCAGCCAGGTTGGAGTTGTTAGCACTTTGCAAATGGCTTCACCTGGAGAACCACGAGCAACCTCCGGCCCCACTCCTTCTCCAGGAGCACCTCTGGCTGCTCACAGTGCTTCAGAGCACCCAGCACAGCCACATGGCCCTGTTTTTGGGGTCATAGCAGCTGGTCCTCATGGTGCTAGGTCCTATCTTGCCAGCAGCCGTGCTCTTTGGCATTAAAGAGAAGAGATTAGCTAAACATGGTCTTGCCTCATGCTGCCGCTCAATGAGAAATTGAGATTTTCTGCATTGCTTGGCCCAGTGCACCCCTGTGTGGGATCCTGGCTGTGGCACACAGGGTGGGTGGTGCTCTCTGCTGCGTACCTTCCTTGTGAAAGCTTCCGTCAGCCTCCAGAAGCGGGCTTGGGTTCACCTCTCTGCCTTCTGGAAGGGAAAGAGGAGTTTGGGGTTGGAGGATTCATGAAAACACCTTCCTGCAGGTGATACATCAGAGGGCTGCAGCCTGGAGCAGCGGCCGATGAGCATCTCATGGCTGCTGGAGCTTGGGGCCGAAGGAGAAGTGGGTGCTGGTGGATGTGACCACAGAGTAACATGGTCACATTTTTGTTACACCCATGGGACAACACCAGGCCCTGTGCTAAGTGCTGCCAGGATTGGCTGGGTACAGACAGTAGTCACCTCCTGGAGGCAAATGACAAATATTAGCATTACAAATATGTATCTAATGTCTACTGTAAATTTAAAGCTGAAGATTTTGAAACTGTGATAGAGATGGAGATGATGTGGGAGAGCCTGCCTGAGCCTGAAGCTAGCATGGAGGCTGAGGGGCTCGGAACTTCACCTCTCAGAGGCACCATGCATCCAGTGTGTCCTAAAACACATCTGAGAAGGAAGACAAGGCTGATGTGTGTGTCTGGGTTAGGGCAGTGCCTCCATGGTCACCTTGAGCCTGAGTGTGTTTCAGCCCCTTCTGCATCTCCTCCTCTTCAGGGCAGATTCCCTGGCTGTCCCCCATGACAGTGCCTGGGCTGTGAACATCAGCCTCATACCCTGCAGTGGGTGAAGGAGAGGTTGAGGTAGATGAACACCAGCATTAAGTTCTTCCATTCAAAACAGCCCCTGAATCTTGTTTCTAAATAATGCTGGATTCATTTAGAGTGGCACACAGAAATCAACACATTATAAAATCACAGAATCATTAAGGTTGGAAAGACCTCACAGATCATCAAGTCCTACAGTCAACCCATCACCACCGTGCCCACTACCCATGTCCCTAAGTGCCACATCCACACATTCCTTGGATGCCTCCAGGACAGTGGCTCCACCACTTCCCTGGCATCTGGCTGAACTGAATGGGGAGAACCAGGGCTTACCTTCCACCTCCAGCACAGCCTGGTCCTCCCATCCTTCTTCATCAGGATCCACGCATGCATTGGATGAGACCTTGCTCCTCCAACAAATGGAGATGCCCAAACTGAGCTCCTGTCCCTGAGCCTTGTGATCCTGGGTCACCCAAGGGGCAGAGCTAGGCTGTATTACCTGTGCTGGGGTGTGACCTCGGGGGGGCTGGAAGTCCTGTGCTCCACTGCCTGAGGGAAGATCTCCATGGCACTGCTGTCCCTTGAGGCTTGCAGCTGATCCTGGTTGCTGCTCACATCTTTGCTTTTAGTTTTCTTCTTGAGCCGAGTGCGCCGTTTGTTGAGTGATGCATCAAAGGACCGCGGGGTCTGAAACGGGGAGCATCCATACCATCAAACCCCAGAGAAAGGAACAGGAGGCCTCAGCAGCTGCCAGAGCCATCCCAAGGCCAAGCCCTTGGCCCAGTTGCACCCCTGGGATTGTGGGACACATGTAGGGGATGGGTTTGTGGTTTGCCAGCCTCACCTGAATTGCTTTGTCCACTTTTGGCATGCCTGTCCTGCGCACCTCCTGCCTGGGTGGGTATGTCTCAGCCATCAGGATCATGCACTGCTGGGTAGACCTGCTGCCAGATGGGCACCATTCTGTCACCCTCCCCAGCCCATCCTGCAGCTTGAGGGTGAGCAGGGAGCATGAAGGAGCCCTAAAACACAGACAGGCACAGGCTCCATCCATCCCCTCACTTACTTGGAGGTCCTGCTAGCTATGGAGGTCCTGCTGGATGTGGAGGTTCTGCTAGATACAGAAATCCTGCTAGACACAGAGGTCCCACTGGATTTGGAGGCTTTACTGGACATAGAGGTCCTGCTTGGTGTGGAGGACTTCTTGAGGGCCACCACATCTCTGGAGCTGGCAGCTTCTTCCATGCCTTGCTGTGGTAGCTGCTGCTGCTCGGTGGCTACAAGGCTGTCAGACTTCAGAGGCTTGTGGAGCTCCCTCCCCTCCTTGGCTGACCCTGGTGTGAACAGAGGCACTTCAGGGCTCTGCTGGCATCCAGGTCACCCCTTTCCAGTAATCCCACCACTGGCTTACCCACTGGTCAATTGATTACCCTGGTAGCCTCAGGCACACCCAGGCAGCGTGCACCTGTCACTAAGCTCACTGCCTGGTGCCACCATTCTGCCTGATGTCACAGAGTGCCTGGGACATTCCCTGGCTCAGCTCCATTGTGCTAGCGAGCACTGGGTTCCAATGGGGACCATAAAACTTCATTAGACAGAGTGGCACAGGGATGGGGACAACATTCAGGGCCTGACTACAGGTGAACGTCCATCCCTCCAGCTGCTGCTTGCTGAGCCCTGCACTATACCCATAGCAGCCAGTGGGATCAGACCCCCATGCAGCCACTCTTGGATGGAAAGACCCAGCCCTGATCCCCACCCAGCACAGCTGGGGACATTGAGTGCTGCCCCAGAGCCTCCCCTTGACCCCACTGTGTGAAGTGTGGGCATCCCATATCCCACATGGCAAAGGGGAGCTGTCAGAACCAAACTCACCCTTCTGCTCCAGCTGGGGGCTGCCCACTGAAATGACCCTACAGGACTCACTGTCTGGATACCCCAGTATCCTCACAAGTCCAACTGTGCACTCTTCAAACAGTGTATGTTTTCAGCATCTCCTCTACTCCTAAAATGCTATTTTGGAAGGTGCCACCAGGTGTCCCTGCAGCCCTTTGCCAAGTAATGATGAGTGGGTGCCCAGGCAGCACACCCCTCCCAGCCAACAGAATTTCACCCCATCTGCCCCCCACGGCGATCCTGCAGAAGTCTCAGCCCAGCTTCTCTCCTTCGGAGGCTTTTCCAGCACCGAAGGACTTTCAGAGACCTGCAGAAGTATGGGAGTTGCTTGCCTTGCAGTGAAGAGTGGAAACTGCCAGGAGAGCTCCAGGCTGCAGTAGGGTTGGGGCTGCCCTGTGACCCAAAAAACCTCCTAAAGAGAGGGAGAGCGTCACACATCCATCCATCTGCTTCCCCCAGACTGAGCCATGCTGGCTTGGGCAAGCACTGGATGCTGACACCATTGAGTGTTTGAGGTTTTTTATTTGGTGCCCTGGGAAGTGCCCACAGGAGCAGCGAATCTCTTCCCACCCAAGGGCTCAGCCCCAGCTGCCACTCAGCACCATCCTTTATGCTGCCCGTTCCCACTCTGCTGGGAACAGGCAGGGGACACAGCCACCACCTGCAGGACAATCTTGGGCACTAGAGGTGGGCATGGGGCACAGGATCTCCATTGCTTTTTGGTAGAACCAACAGGAACAGAGCCACCAGGACCTGCATGGGGAAGGCACCACAGCAGCTGACCCATCTCTGTCACCAGGATATTTTTTTCCACAGGGGACAAAACCATGGGAGATACACAATTGAAGGCAGCAGGATACAACCTGACCCCTGCCAGCTCTTCTGGACCCTGAGCCACACAGAAAACCAAGCACAGTACCGTGACACAGCTCAAACACACAGAGAAAGGCTGGGAGGTTGTTGCCCAGAGAGCCAGGCTCAAGGGATACAACACATCCATATGTGAAGGGGGATGGTGGTGGGAGACACTGGGACCAGCACAGCTGGTGCTACATGAAAGTGGCTGCTGGTGGCACATAGAGGGAAGGAGGAGGTCACACAGAACTCAGACATTGCTTTGCACTGTCCCAGACCACAGCAATGTCAGAAAGGTGGGGGTGGTCCCAGTTTGCTCGTGTGTCCTCAGCCCACAAGGCAACACGGGGGCTGCAGCTGTTCATCGTGTTGCTCCAGCACAGGCCATGCAGGAGAACACAGCTCACAGCCTTGGGTTCTACCCAAATCCCCATGGCCAAATGAGCACCTTGCAGTTCACAGTCTCTCCAAGGCAGAATTGTCCCATGTCACCACGTTCAGTGTATGGAGGGGCCGCTGGCCCACCGAGGTAAGGACGAGAGGTTTGCTATGGAAGCACATCCCTGCAGTACAGTGAGGTGACGGACAGCGGGGCTGAAGACAGCCAAAGGGTTGTTAAATTACACGCAGACACACACACAAGCTTTTCTGTAAACTGGATTCCAGGAGATCCCACAGTCCTGGGCTGATCCTGCAGCCGGGTGCAGCATCCTACATGTTCCCACGGTACGTGATGTTGGTGAAGGTTGAGGTTGCCTCTTTGTATAATGGGTTGTTGCCCTGGAAAAGAAACAAACAGCATCACTTTGTGGTTGGCATTGGTGTTTGCTGCATTTGGGGAAACCGGGGCACCGTTGGGTGTTGGATGCAGAGGGCAGAGCTTTGGAGGTATAATGTACTGCAGTTTAACAGCTTCCCATGAGGCTGTATGGAGAGGAGAAAGTTGTTGTAGAGGAAAGGCAGCAAGAGCCCCAGGAAGGACCCCCCCCCTCCATCCCTTCCCTCTGGGGAGGGACACACTGACACATTCCAGCCCCCTTCCTCATACTGTGGGTGCCTCAGCCCTTCCAGCATCCCGTGGCAGCAATGTTCCATCTGCTCATGAGGTGGAACACTGGTGTGGGCAGTGAGTAAGAGACTCATGCTGGAGGAAAGCACTCGAGATACACTGGGAAAAGCAGCTGGGACATCTGCTGTGTCCTATGCCCAGTGCCCCTGGGATCAATAGGTGTCCAGACAGCTGGTGCCACTTCAGGTCCTGCTGTGCCACCATGCCATGCTTCACAGATGAGCTGTTCCACAAGGACCATGGCCAGGAGGGATCACAGGCTGGGCTCTTATGCAGGGAGCACTGGGTCTGGATTCACTCAGCTCAGAGGATGAAGAACTCATGTCCTCATGCACCCATCCCTCTGACCCTTACCGTGTCCCACTTGGCCCTGGCCTTCTCCTCTTCGAAGCGGGCGAACTCCCGGCGGTCGTGGATGGTGATGAGGAGTTTCCAGATGAGCAGGGCAGCCAGGCCGATGAGCAGGATGGCACCCGTCACTGAGAGCAGCACCACCAGGATGTCTGGCCCCTTCGGGCACTCTGGTGGGATAGAAGGGCACGGTTTTGTGGTCTACAGGGGCTCCTCTGGTCTCTTGAATGCTCGATTCTCCACCATTTACAACCTCTAACTTTGAGCATTCACACTGTTCCCCCCGCAAGCTGCCTATACCTGCTGTGCTGGGGCTGGGGAGGGGATGGGTTGTTGTTGACCTGGGATTCCTTTCAGAACCTTTGGGTTTGAAGGCTCTGCAGTCACACAGCACCCTGCACAAGCTGAAAGCAACCTCAAAGGATGCTGGAAGCTTTGCTCCACGCAAGGAGTGTCATATCCCTAACCATGGGTGCAATCACAGCATTATTCCTGAATGGCTGACTGGAGCTGGCTCAGTCTCAAGAAAATGAGACCCCTGGAGCCAGAATTGAGAACGGGAGGGCTGAGCTTGTCCTTGGCAGCTCAGCAGGGGGGTGAAACAACCTAGCAGTGTGGGGAAACGTGAGACAGAGGCAGGCAATCACAGCCCGGGTGCACAGAGCGGGGAACAAAGCAGCACTGTTACTCATGCCAGAGCCTGGCTGGGAGGTACAAAACCCCCAGGTTAGTGCAGACCCCCCACAGTGACTTGCAATTAGAGCTCTAGCCAGGCCCTACCTGGCTCCTCTATGACATAGAGGACAGATTTGCCACTGGAGTCCTCGTAGTACTGGAAGCGCACCACGCAGTCATTCTCATCCTTGTAGGTGCAGTTCACAGCATCCTTGCCCCTGTCACCTGGGGGGGGAAAGGGATGAGCAGCTGTCAGAGCCCTCACGGTGGGGGCACACACGGAAGGTGCACACAGCCTCAAATACCCATGCTTTAGGCAGAAACCTGTGCACTGTGCTCCATCCCAGCTCTTACCCAGCTCCTGCACTGTCTCAATCTCATCACGGCACACGCGGCCACAGGACTGCTGCTCCACCAGTGTGCCCCGCTCATACTTCTTGCACTCCACGCATTCCCTGAAGAAGAGGGGAGAAATACTATGAGCTGCATCAAACATCCTCAAGGCAGAGCATCCTCCCACCCTTTGCTCTGTAACCCCAACCCAAAGGAGCGGGGGGGGGGGAGGTGATGACCACGCTGCAGGCATAAAGCCTGATGGAACCATCCCAGCTTTCCAACCCAACTCACTTTTTGATGGTGCAGGCATCTGGGCATGTGGGACACTTCTCGCAGGTATTCCCATAGGAGCCAGGCTGGGTGCAGTCACACTTGCCACAGATGCAGGTGCCGTGGCCGCTGCACACCAGCCCATTGCTGGACATACACGTATCAGTGCGTGTGGTGCAGTTGCAGTAGTCACCAGTCCAGTCTGAGTCACACAGGCAGTCCCCACAGCTGCACTTCCCGTGCCCTGGAAACAGCCACGAGGACGTCAGGACCCTCAAAATGGATCCCTATAGATCCCTGCTGGGGATCACCCCCATGGGATGCTCCTGCACTTGGTGCATGGTGCAGGAAAGTGGAGCAACCACCCAGAACATTTTCATTCCACCATCCCTAGGATGGGACACTGCTGCTGCCATCACTTTGCTGTGTCCCCAGTGCTTCTCTTATCCCACCAAAATGAGAAAACAGCCAAATCTCATGCTGAGCTGTCTCAGCTCCTGTGGCAGGAGCTGATTGAGCATCTCCAGCTACATCTGAGCTACCCAAGCTTTTGGGATTCAATCAGGACATCTGGTCAACCCCTGCTGTCATTTCCCAGCCCTGCACTATACATGGGAAACTGACTGCTGGGAAAAGTCCAGCCAACTCCGCATGCTCGCCTGGCTCGGTCAGACAGACAGACAGACAGACGTCCTCGAATCCTGCCAGAGCCCGCAGCTATTTGGATTGTGGTTCGATTTTTGACTCCAGCACCAGACACAGCAAGAGGTGGAAATGCCACAGAGCCGGCACGCGCCGACCCATCCTGAGTACAGAGTGCTCTCAGCTCACTCTACTCTCAGCTGGGGAGGGCTGTGCACCATCCCTTCACATGGCCTCGGGGGCATTGGCATGAGAAATAAATGTGTAACCCTGCTAACGAGGAACTGAGTCACAGGAAAATAGTGCTGCGCTGTGTGACAGTGCATGGAAATGTGGGGGAGGGCTGGGGAGATATGGCGAAATGTGATGTGACGGATGGCAGTGGGGTCAGACAGGGCACTGGCTGCCAAGAACAGGGTTTGTGGGTAGTGCCTCTGGGGAGGGCTTGGCCACCTTTTCCCCGTCTCATTTCCTCCCCAGCCCTGGGCACACAGCCAGGGTTGGTCGAAATGGGTGAAGGGCTCGGGCACAGAGCTGGGAAACAACAGATAGGGTTAATTAACAGCTCGCCCTCGATCAGCATCCTTTTGCCCTCTGTGCCTGATATGGGTAATGCTGTGCAAATATGCTGCACCATGGGTGGCAGCAGGAGGGATGTCACATCCCAATGCTTCTCCCCACCCTCTCCCTTTCCACCCTGGTGATCTTTCCTGCGAAGGAACACCTCTGACCCAGAAGGGCTGGTGGGATTCAAGCAGGGGCTGGCACTGCAAAACCACTTCTCTTCATGCCCCCAGCCACCCTGATGGGGCTCCAAGGATAAAGTCTGCTTGTATCCTCCTGAGCCCATCCCCTTGCCAAGACTTTGGGGCACAGGATGCCAAAACAGGAGTCACTGCTTTGCACCCAGAGCTGATTCAGGACTAGGAAAGCCAACAGCGGGGACAACATATGTGACAAGCCCCCAAGAATCTAGCATTTCTCTTCTTCATGCCGCTGGGCAGCAAAAACACCTCTCCAGCACAACCCACACCCCTGAGCACAACACTCACCTGAACACATCTGACCCTTGAAGCGGACGCAGGAGAAGTCATCGCACTCACAGTACTTGCCCGTCACCTTGCCAAAGTCACTGCTGTGACACACACACTGCCCACAGATGCACTCTCCACGCTGGCTGCAGAGGGGCTGTCCTGGCTGAGGGCTGCAGTTGTCCTGCTGTGAAGGGTTGTACTCTTCCTCCGAGCACTCACAGTGTGAGCCCAGACGCCCCGGGTTGCAGCGGCACACCCCGCACTCCAGGCTGCCATTGCCTTTGCTGCAGAAGGAGCTGTTGGCCTCGGCCTGGCTCTCGCAGGAACAGTTGCAGTCGAAGTTCACCACCACGGTCAGGCTGTCCTTGAAGCCCACGGGTTTGATGGTGAAGGATTTCTGACGCTCCTGTGGGCAGCCTCGTACCTTGGCCTCGATGCTGAAGCTCACCTGGGGACAGAAAGGTGTGTCCAGGTGTTGGTACACCCATTGGGTACCAACAATTGTAGTGCTGTGGTTCCCATTGCAGCCTACTCCATGCCTAAGCTCAGCCAGCCCAGAAATGGAACTGACTAAGTCCTTTATGGCTTCTCAAAGCTGTCCTGGCATCAAGCAGGACACTAACCTACTACAGTATCTAGGCAAAAATCAGTCCATAAGTGTCCAGAAACACCACTGATTCTGCACCCAGTGGACTCATATAAGCATTTTTCCCCCTTGCTCTCACCCAGCTGGACCTTCTCTCTAGTAAGCAGAGATCACAGTTTGCCCTGGAAGGACTTGTGCCCCCAGAAGGTGGGAGGGGAGCAGACAGTGCAGGTGCAGCATCAGGTGAGCTCTGTGCACCACTGTGTAGAGAGAGAAAAGCACTCTCAAGATAGGAGTCTTACCGTGTCCCCAATCTTGAGCCCCATGCAGGACTTGAGCCCAGCGATGACCTCGTTGTTGAGGCAGGTGGCATTGAAGGACAGGGACAGCTCTTCAGGAAGGTCGCGCACCTCCAGCTCCACCTTGGAGCGGATTTTCTGGAAGAGCAGAGAGGAATGATGTAGAAGACAGCTGGACAGAGGCTCACCCACAGCAGCCTCCTCACCGTTCCTATGCATGCAAGAAGGGAGCCAAGTGCTCCAAGAATTCCCAGAAGTAGCCCATGCCATTTCCCACTGGGAATGCTTTAGAGGATGGGAAGGGACAGGGGTGGTCTCCCATCCCCACAGTCCCCACGCGTATGGGTGGAGGCAAATGCTCACAGTTGGCCCAGGGCTTAGGGAGATGCTAAGAGCATGTGGGCTGCTTGCAGTGTTTACGTGGGGAGGAAGAGAGCTTCTTTGGGATTGTCATGGTGCACAGCTCTCCTTTGAGTAACATGGGGCAAGGTCTGTGCCCTGTAAGGATGACTGCACTTTCAAGATGAAGGCCCTACATCTTGCTGCCCGTGGGATTGGGATGTGGTGGCACTGCACACTCACCCCATAGGCGTCCACAATGAGCTGCAAGACATTGCTGGAATCTCTGGACAACGTGCCCACAGTTGTGCCTGGGATCAGCTCACTGTAGTTCTGGAGAAACAGCATAAGAAAAATGGTCTGCTCATGACAGGTGAACACAGCTGGATCAACCCATTCCCATGCACATGCTGTGTGCCTCCAGGGTGCTTTGAGAATGGAGAACAACCAGGCTGTGCCCAGCCATCTGTGGCCAGCTGCAAAGCGTCCTCCTCAGGACCCCAGCAGCCCCCCATGCAGGTTTCTGCATGGCAGCCATTACCTGGTAGAGACCAACAACCGTATCCGTCACAGCAAAGATCAAATTGATGTTCTTCTGTGAGAGCTTCTCTGTCATCAGGCCCAGAGAGGGATAGTCCTGGAGAAAGGAAGAGACCTGAGAACATGCAATCCCAGCCACTCCATCAAGCTCTCCAAGCACAGATGGACCACCTCTCTCATCACCAAAGGAGATTTGGGTCCCCCAGCCTCACTCTTGGGTTGGGATTTACCAGCGTGGTAGAAGCTGAGTAGAAGTTATCCTTGTCAATGTGGCACCGGGCATCGTTGGGCTGCACGATACCAGCCAGCCTGCCATCCAATGCGATGTGCGTCTTGGCATCCGTGGTGAAGACAAGCAGGTGGGACGCGTCGTTCCTCCAGCCAATTTTCTCCTGCAGCCAAAGGCAGTTTCTAGTGGTGCAGCAGTGAGTGCCCTACATCAGCACCTCGTTGCTGCCCTCGCTGTCACCTCAGGTCATAGCTTGGGAAGGTGAAAGACAAGCTTTGATTTGCTAGAGTGGTTATCATGGTGGCTAACAATTGAGGGACATATCTCCATCTCCAGCAAAATCAAGGTGCAGGCAAAGAAGACGTCCTTCTGGGTGGTTACTGCAAGGCTGACATAGGATCAACATGCCAGTCCCCAGAGCACCTGTTCTGCTCCTCTCACCTCCCAGGACCCCATAAAAGCTCTGCTTTTCCCTCTTCTTGGCTGAGGACCTAGAAATCCCCTTGAATGTTGAACGTTCACCCTGTCTAGATCTCAGCCTAGCTGCTTGTGGTACAGTGGGTGTACTGTGCCAAGCCCTAGGCCGAGCCTAATGACCCTCTCCAGCCCCAGCCAGGCCTCTTTAACCCTTACATCACACACGGTGGCCTGGATGATGGCATCGAAGCCACCCTCAGGTGCATCCCTGTTCCTTGAGACGCTCTGCTTCTTCACCTCCTCGTTGAAGCGCATCACCTCGTCTGTGAGCGACAGGACATGTTTGTATCCAAACATGGGCAAGCACGTTTCCCCGATCCTGTGGGAAAAACGTTATCAGGACACGAGTCTCATGGGTGCTTCCAGCTCCCACCTCCACCCTGCAGTCAATTCACATCCTGTGATCCTCCTCTGGATGTGATGGAGGGATCCAACTGACTACCCTGGGAGCCTGAGGGCACAGTTGGTGAAGGACCCTGTAAAAATCTGTCACGTTATAGTGAAGCTGGACTCAGGTCATCTCCTAGCCTCTGTCCTGCTGGGAGTTTTAGGAGAAATTTTCTTAGATCCTCAATGAAAATGTTGTCTGGTCCCGAAACCAAACACCCTGCTGGAATCCATTTCCATGGGTGTGCAAACGCAGTTCAGTGCTGCCCCATCCTTACAGATCTCCCTTAGACTTACTCATAACAAGGGTTCCTGATGGCTTCTGGAGGAGAGATGTACATGTAGGGTGAAATGGGCTTGTCCACAAAGGCCCCAAAGCCGATGCGAAGGTTGCTGGTGAGCTTGCGCATCTCACTGGCCAGCTTGGTACCCAGGTTCTGGATGTTCCTCAGATCATCCTTCATGGAGTTGGACAGATCCATCAGGTAGTAGATGTCCACGGGATAATCTTCTACTTGGCGCACTTGGACACGGAATATTTGGGAGTCATCTGTAATGGGACAGGGCAGAGGAGTAAGAGATTGTCTCCCAGGAGCCCAAGGAAGATGGCCCAAAGCTGGTTGGGAGGAGAACATCACAGCTGGGCACACAAAGGAGTAAATAACTCAGGGCAGGGTGCTTGTACATGAGGCATGCTGCACACCCCTTGAGAAGGACAGTGCCCCACAGCTCCTGTTCTCCAGGCCTCCCATTACTAAAGCCTGAGAAGATCCTCCTGCTCAGAGCCGAGTCCCCTGATTGTTCTGTGATAAGCGTGGCCAACACACGGTGGATGGAGTGAAACACCCTACATGTGGGCAGACAGACCTGTGGGGACAACCAGGGGACTCTGTGGCTGCTTCAAGACCCTCTGAGCTCCTGGGGCCCCCAAGAATCTCCTGGGTTCTCCTCCATTTCTGTTCCTTCCTGCTCCCCTTGGTTCCTCCCAGCTCCTGCTAACAAGGTTTTTGATGAAACATTTCCCATCGAAACAAAAACGTCCTTACACAGAACCTTCTGGGGAACAGTTCAGCTTCAATGACTTCTACACTTTGAAAAATAAAAATAAAAACAGTGAAGCACTCAGGGTTGACCTTTTCTTTCTGCTTTTTAGAAGCAACAAAGCTTATTTCTTGTTCTTTGAAAGCACTTCTTTGAAATGTAAGCTGGGACGCAGCTGCTGCCCTCTCAAACCACCTCTCATGTCAAGAAAAAAGCTTTAATCAATTCTAATTGTTGTTTTCATGTTTCCTTCTCAATCTGCACATCTGAGATTTTGATCTTCAGAATGGAAAAGGTGTTTTCAAAATCAAGGAGAGCCCAAAGAACCCCAGCCCCAACCTGTCTGTACCCCCACGCAGGCAGAAGTCCCAACTTTGTCCCCACAGAACATCTGTTCTTCCTCACTGAGCTAAAACCATGAGGACTGAGTTCGTGGGATGTGCCCTAGTTATAACCTTCAGCATTTGATCTTCACTCTCAAGCTGAAGACTGTTTCTCCCTAGCACAGCACATTATCTCCTGTAAATGACTTTAGACCTAAAGACAGCAACAGCCACTCAGCAGCTACACATCCACATTGGGTGGGGAGAAAGACACATCAGAGCTGCAGTCACTCACTTCAGGACCCCTCCTTGGCCAACACTAAAGATGTGCTATCATCCACTAACAGCTGATCCTGGGGCTTGAATGAGCTCACAGATCCAAAAGTTGCTCCTGCTAGGACATCTGTGAGTGGATGGATAATAAGGGCAGGGCTGGGTTATGTGTGCTGAAGAGCACAGCCACAGCAAAGGCGCCATTTTTCTCCACTTCCCCCAAATCCCAGATGGGTGACACCAAAGGGGACGTAAAACATGAACATTTATTTCATCAAAGCCCCTATATATAGGTCTGATGTGAAAGTTCGGTATCAGCTTTATGGCACCAAGAAATCAGTAGCTAAGGTTTAAATGGCTTCATAAAACAAGCCCATAAGATGTTGAAGCCTCATCCCATCCTACCCCTGGGGTCCTGCAGGATTGAGACAAGAGACTCAGACACCAGACTGCCCAATTGGGGACACTGCTGGGGTGTTTGTCACAGCCCCAGTCTGGCATTGCCCTCAATGGTTGTGAGACAACCTCATCTGGAAAGCTGTGGTGATGGTTCATCCATGACTTTACCTCTCTGGGTTATTCCCACAGTATCTTACAGGCTCTTACCTGGCCGCAGGTTTAGCTGGATCCTCTGGGGGCTCATTTGGGTGGTGGTGGACCCCCCTGAGCCCTTATCACTGAGCGGCCGCTCCTCCAGGACTGTAACACTGCTCCTGGGGAACTCGATGAAGTCCATTGCACAGCCGTTCTGCAGGAGGTTGGTGAGCAGGTCGCAACGTGGGGATGACTGTGCCACCACCTGTGGGACAGGACATGGTCAGGAGAGATGGACAACTCCTCCGAGCCAAACCCCTGCTGAGATCCAGAAGCTGGAGCCTCGTATTTGGGTTTTGGCTAAGCTAAGAGGGAAATTGCTCTAATGAGGTGGCTGTGTGCACAAACAGGGTGAAGTAGAGCAAATTCATGGGCAACTGAGCATCTTTTGGGGTTTTTTATTGTTATCTTTTCTAAACGCTGTGAAAAGATGACCCAACTTCTCCCCAGAGTTCAATGCAATCGTCGGAATTTTGCTGTGAGAGAGTTTGCTCTGCTGTAGGAGAGCCCAGTGCTCCTATCTGAGAGCTGTTCAGCTTATCAGCAGCTCCCCAGCTTCCTGCTGGAGCCCAGTGAGAGGGAAAAGAGATCCAAATAAGGAGAGAAGGAGCAAAAAGTCGACCAGGCTGTGGGAGAGGCAGTCAAGGGTCCGTCAGAAGCAGGAAACGGAAAGTGTGAAGTCACAGCAGGGCTCCACCCCCCCCTGAATTTCCTAGAAAGCTTCCTATCCTTATCGCAGGGTATGCAGAGGGGTCCGGGCAGTCCCGGAGATGGGTGACATTTCCCATCAAGACTAATAAAGGAAGAATTCCTCTGCTGCTGCCCTCCTCCCATCGGGGCTCTCCCAGTTCCCTCCCACAGCACGGAGCTTTCTCTATTCAGAGTCCTGGGAGGGGAGAGAAGCAGATCTGCTCCCCCCAGCACCACCGCAGCTCCTGCCTGGGGTATCAGCTCCCCCAGAGCCAGGTGGGTTGAACCCAGGAACCGATTTGTGTGCTTTATGCAAACAAGGGGAAAAGTGCAAACAGCATCAGGAGGCCCTCCCTGGCAGCAGTGGCCTTTGCCTGCCTTTTTCTCCTCCCTCAGCCCAAGCAATAGCCAGAAAATACATCAGCAGGCGTGTTCCTCCCTGGTGGCCTCCCACTCCTCCCCACGCAGCACGCTGTGGTGCACAGGACATGTTGTCCATCCACATGAGCTCCTTGCACCCCTCCAGCTCACCCCATGGGTTCCTACTGCAGAGCACAGAGCTCTCGAGGCCATTGGACCTCTGGAGCCCTATCTCCCCACAGCCACCAAGAGCTTTCCCAGGTACTTTGGACTCAGGAAAGAACCCATCAGTAATTACACATGTTCCTGAGCTGGGAAAGCACTAGAGAGATGAGGGTGAGAGGCAGAATGGGCAGAAAGGTTTTTAACTATGACTGAGCTCTCTGGTGATGCCCATCCCCTTCCACGATCAGCGGTGTAATTCCTACTGAGAGATACCCATGCAGAAGCTCTTTCACTCCAGAACAACATTCCTCTCCTTTTCCTAAAGGTTGTTGACTTGGCACTTGCAGGAACTGCAGTTGGAGTGACTCAGAGGCAGCTCAGACCCACCAGCACAGCCCTGATGGCACCAGGAGGGGCTCCCCATGAAGGAGATGCTGCAGGGCAGGGAATCCCATCTCCATCACAAACCACCCCACAGACCCTGGCAGATGCTCCCCAATTCACACCCCTCCTGGGCAGCTGGACCAGTGTGACTTCCAGAGGTCCCTTCCAACCCCTCACCCACTCTGTCATTTTCTGACCAAGGTTTTAGTCCCCCACCTCCACAAGCTCTCTCTGGGACTGGGTACCCAATGAGTTCACCCCAATCTCCACCTCTATACCCCAAAAGCAAGGACAGGGCCAGGCATGGTGCTGTCAGAGCCAGCCCCATCCCACACCATCATCACTGCAGCATGTTGCACATCCCCAGGGCATCTCTGTTTTCATCTCATAGGCAACCACATACAGGGAGAGATTCTCTGCAGGAGAGCTGGTGGGAGGACCCAAGGCACAGACATCTCTGCGGAGTAAGCTAAAAGCTTCCAGAGTTTCTCCAAGCCAAGCCCTGGCCCAGCACTGCCTCCCCCTGCTCTCTGAGGGGAATGGAGCAGATGACATTTTGGGTGGGTGAGACCCTGGAAAATTTGCCACGATATTCTCTAAAGTGATTTCAGAGCTCTAAGGCTCAGCTGGCTTTTCCCAAAAGGGAAAGTGAGTGGGTGGGCACATCTATTAGCTGCTAAGGGTGGTCAGGGTTCTGGAAAAATAAAGAAAAGTCAGCTGTCCTCTACTTCAGTGCTCAGTGATTGCAAGAAACAGCAACAATATCCCCCTCTTGTCCAAATCCAGGATGGAGCAGGAGTAATTGTTAACCTTGAGTGGGAAAGGAAGGAGCACAAGAAAGGTCGCTCTCCCTTTAAATAGGGAGGGGGATCAGAGACCCCCCCCCCCACCCCAGGGATATTAAACAAAACCTCAGAAAAAAAGCCCTCATTTGCTAAATTAAAACAATGCTCTCCAGATGTTGGAGGCAGAGCTGTGAGCAGCTCGCACAGCCCGGCTGCTGGCAGTGGGATGTTCCTTCACCGCCTGTCACGTCTGTCCATGAGCACAACCCCAAACAGTGCCTGAAATATTGCCTTTTTTGGAAACCTTAAAAAAAAAAAAAAAAAAAAAAAAAAAGCACAACTAAAAGCTAAAAGCATAGCAGCCCCCAGTGCAGCATTAACACACCAGCAGCCCAGGCTGGGAAGGAGCAGATGGAGGATTGAGTCCTTATCATGGCACAAAATTCAGCCACTCCTTGCAGGAGACAAGTGGGGCTCATCTGCACGAGCATCTCTGTGCACCCTGCGATGGGAAGATGCTGGGAGGTGCAATGGGATCTGCTGGGACCTACAGGTGGGCAGTAATTGGGGGATCATCCCACAGTTTAGATAAAATTCCTGGTCTTCTCCCCACTTGTGGATGAGAACTCCACATTTGCAGAAGACAAAGACAAGTCTTTTCTTAGTGCTTTCTTGCAACACACAAGGAGTGCATTGTTACGACAGTGCCTCACTGAGCCCTGCAGCCTTAAGTCCCCTTTATCTGCAGCTCACCAGATGAATAATTGTTGGGAACTTCCACTCTTACATCCCTGATAGACCAACCCTAAGGGCAGCATTTTTGGAGAGCACAGTGGCACGTCTTCCCACATCTCACCCACACCCAGACAGTGGATTTCAGAGCCACAGCTCTGCTCTCACATCCCCTCTAACTCCATAACCTAAAACAGGAACCTCATCGTCCCATCCCCCATTTTCCCACGGTTAAAAGACATTTAAACCCAAACTTGAGTTCTAATCAGTATTATTTTTCCTTCTCCTAAATCCCCTTTCCAGCCTCTCCATGAATCAGATTCCTTTTAGTCAGAACTTCACAAGGAGCTTTCAAGAAGCAAACCAAAAGGAAACCAACTTTCCAAGCATATAGTTTGAGACAAAATGAGTTTTCAATGGAAGAAAGCAGCACTTCCCAGAGCTCCACTCCAGGAAAAAGGCAGATTTGGAGACCAAAGAAGGAACCCAGACTGAACCCCACGGCTCACAATGCTATAGTTACTACCAGATGCCACCAAGGGGTGTGTTTAGACACAGTGGGAACAGATGGAAATGCATGTGGCTGCAACACACCATCCCAGAGCCCAAAGCCCAGCCCCAGCACTCACCTCTGCAGAGCACCATGCACAGAGTGGGCTGACAGCCAGGCACTGCTTGCAGGAGTTCACCCCTCGGGTAGTACAGATGTTACTCCCTTGGAACACCAAAACAGAGAGCTGTGACTGCCTGCTCATCACCATCACCATCACCATCACCATCACCATCACCATCACCATCACCCAGCCCTGTGTGCTCAGCCAGCAAAGCTCCACCTCCCACCCTGCATACCCTCATCCCCTTCCCAGCCCTCAAATCCAATTTTTCCCTCCTTACTTCTTCAATAATCACTTCCCCCAGCCCAGCACCAGCTGGGCTCCATCCTGCTGACATCTCCCACCTGCCACCCCAGTGCCAGCTCCTTACAGTGCCCTTGACACTGTAGCCCTGGGAGACATCATCTCTGGTGCCTCTCTGTGGGCATTTTGGGGCTGTGGTGAGCTCTGAGTCCAGCAAATTGTCCCACCTGCCCCAGTCTTGGGGAGAGAAGTGGTTCCTGTCCAAAATGAAGCTGACAGCTGCTTGTGATACTGCTCTGGGTAAAACTGGGATTCCACCAGTGGAACTGGCAGTGAGGATGTTGGGAGACACACACCTCAGTTGGAGGACATCACATCCATTCACGGGGCCCCAAAACCACCAGCACCCACTGGGGCAGGAAGGGCAGAGATGGGAACTGTATGGCTGTCTGGTTCCGACAGCTGATGCAATGAGGGGGATGGGGAGGTGGCCATAGAGTCATCACCTTCAGCTCTTCCTTCCTCTTGAGGCACAGTGGTCCCCAGCATCCCTGGGGCAGCTGGGCCCTGTGGATGCTGTGTGCCCCCCATTGCAGTCCTGGGATCTCCTGGTACCGGTGTGGAGTTGCTGCAAACCCCCCATGCTCCCTTATTCCCTGCCCAGGGCCCTCCCTTTGCAGCCACAATTTTTTCTGCAAAAGTGGGAGGAAATACATTGTGAAACAAAGAGGAAACAGCAGAACAGTGAGGTTTGGCCTTTGGGTAGAGCCACAGCTACAGCTACAGCTGTCTGCGCCCTCTGGCATGCAGAGTATTGTGCAGTGTGGATGCATGTTCCTGCATGAACGTGGTGGCACAGGCCAATGCTGGGACACAGAGAATGCCACCATGCTTAGACACATGGCCCTGTAGCATTTCATGTTCCCTCAGTTTTGGGGTTGTATCCACACCCGGAGCTCTCAGCATACATCAAAATCCCCAGCTGCAGCTTATCACAATGATAAAGCCTCTTTGGGAGCCTTGGGGCTGTGTGCCCAAAGTTGGGAGCAGCTTTTGAACTGCAAAACGCAGGGGAGCCCTGTGCCTCACTAACATCACAGAGCAGCACTGTGTCCCCTTGCTTGGAATGGAAGAGAGGTGCCCAGGACCCTCCCTCCATGCTGGGGATCCCATTTTCTGCCTGATTTTGGCACACAGGACCACAAATTGGGTACATGTCTGAGGATGCAGGGCTTTTCCCCATCCTCCAGCACTGTTTTGAGCCATTCTTGGTGTTCTCAACACACAACTGTATGCAGCTCTGACCCACTGGAAGGAGCCCAAATCCCCCGGGCGCCAGCAGTGCTTAACACAGGGCCCTTATCACCATGTGAACATGAAGGGGATTGTGGCCAGCCTCACCTCCTGCCTTGGGAAATACCCCTATTTTGTCACCTACAGCTTTGTTTGCATGGCTGGTCAGAGAGGGATGCACCAAGGAGCAAAGATGCTGTTGTGTTGTGGGCACAAAACTGGGCTGGAGGAGAGCAGGTGATGCTGAAGGCTGAGCATAGCCTGCTCTCAGCCCTCAGTGCTGTCTGACTGTGAGCAGGTTAACGAGATTCCAGCAAAGCCTAAACTAATAAACTCTGTGCATCTGATTTATTTTTTTTTCCCATTCACTTTAGGTCTTGGTTTTTTTTTTTTTTTTTTCTTTTCTCTTTTCCAGCCACAAAAGCGAACCAACCAAAGCACAAAAGCAGCATTTATTTATTTTCATTACTACAAAAACAGCTGGCCTCCTATAACGAGCTGCTCCTAATTACTCAGGCCTTCAAATAAAAAAAAAAGAAATCCCAACACATGGAACATGGGGTGCTGACATGAGCAGTATGGGAAGCACTGTCGGGTTCAAGGAGTGTTCAGACAGCACACTCCAAGTGATGCACTTGGAATGTCCCAACCCATGTCTGTGGCTGAGCATCCCTCTTTCCTGGCTGGGAAAAATTACTCAGACCTCAGCCTACACCCCATGTGCTGTGTGAGCCAGCTTTTCCCCCTGCTAATATGCAGAAATCTTGATAAGGATGCTTTAGAAAACTTGGTAAAGATACAAGCTGTTTTGACATCATCCCTGGGTTTTCTGCTTGACTAAGCAATAGGGAGCTTAGCTTTTTTTGGCCGCTCCTGCTCACTCCATCCAGGGCTATGTCATTTCTTGGAATATTTCCTTATTTACCAACATCTTCCTGCAGAGGAGATGCCCCGGGCTGGTTATGGGATGGGTTAAATGCACAGCCCCAAAAGTGAAGCCCTACAAACTCAGACTCTCCCAGGGATGAGCGCATCCATACAGCTGGCTCAGCACATCCCAGCCTCGGGCTGTTCCTGGGAACGCACCGAATCCAGCATTCTTTAACCAAAATAACACTGACCCAAATCCCCTCGGGTCGGGTCTCTAAAACAATAGGGCTGATTTACAGACCAGGAGCTGAACAACACCCCTTTGTGGCTGCAGGATTTGCTTTCTGGAAGCTTTGAGCTCAGGAACGCACCTGGGGAGGACATTCCCTTCCCTGGGCTGCTCCTTCACAACGCATGGAAAGTTCTGAACAAAGCAAACTGTGTTTGTTCTGGTGCCAGAAATCAAGGCTTTGAAAGACCAGCACCAAAAGAGCAGGAGATAAATGGGTGTGATACATTAATGCTGACCCTCAACATGAGATGGATATGGCAACTGCTGGCCCTGCGCACTGCTATTACTGCCTGCTGGCAGAGCCCACCCCAATACTCCCACTACAAACGAGCACCACAGCCAAGCACTGCATAGATAGAGGGGCTGAGATCACTCTGCCCAAAGTGAGAATAAAGCGAGGAGCCCCAAAAATTAGGAAAATTCAGAAATGGGGATCTGTGCTGAGGTCACCCTCTGCCCACTGCCCCTCTGAGCGACTTTCCCGACAGTGTGGGAACGAAGAGAATCCCAGGGTTTAGGGATGACAGCGTGCAACCCAGGCACTGCATGCAACGTCAGGGCAAACCCAGCATTCCAGCCCCACACCTACCCCAGCTGCCAGCAGCGCAGAGCACCAGGATGCTGAAAGCGACGCGGAGTCCCTCCATCTCCTCCTCCGAACCCCGGCTATAGGGGTGTGGGATGGCCCCGCCGTGCGATTTTGAGATGGTTTTGAGCCGTCCAAGGGATGAATCATGCGCTGGGTGTGTGTGACACACATCCACACACAGCGGGCCGGCCGGAGGAAGCTACGCTATGCTACGCTGCTTCGTCACTCGAATTGGAGTCGGGCAGTGCCTCCTCCCGTCCTGCCCCCGGAGCACCTCGTGCTTATTCCCCCTCTCGGCTCATAAAAGGACTTAGCGAACCTGGGCACAAAGTGCAGGGCGCTGCTGACCCGCTGTAACAGGCTTGTTCCCATAGGCTCTTCTGCTGGGTTTAATTGCTTGCAAAATCTAGCTCACTCCCTCCCCTCGTTAACCCTTTCGGCCGCGCGGGTTTTAAATTTGCTGAGGCTGAGCTGAGTGAGGATTTAAGGGGAAACAGAGCACATGCATATTGCAATGAAAGTGAGGGTTCTCAGCAGCCTTTCAGGTGGGAAAATCCCTGTTGGAACAGCCCTGGGGCTGTGCAGGAGGATGGGTACAAACCCGACATCACGAAAGGAGCGAAATTCAGACTGGGCTGAGTGATTTGGAGCTGATTCTCGCTGGTTGTGCTGCTTTTCTCTCACAGCCTGCAGGCACAGATCCGCACAACCCCAACCCGCTGTGCGTGCATAGGACTCATTGCATCTGCCAGGACCTTCGGAAGGAGACAACACGGGGACCAAGGCTTTCTCTGCTCCAGGAGCGGCACTTTTCTTGGCCAGAAAAGAAATTTCGCAGCGTTATCCTTCTTCTCCCACCCCCCCAAATCCTCTTCCCTCCCCGCGGTGCTGCTGCCCTCCGGCGGTCGCCGGGGCTCTGCTTTATGGGGAAATTTTCCTCCTGGGATCTCCCCTCTGCCTCCCTGAGGTGGATTTGCTAAGGAGGGGCCCAGAGAAGCCCATCGGCCCTCACGTCGTGTTGACAAAGTGCTGCTTTTCAATTGAAACTGGGTTGCTCACAGCCCCTTCCTGCCTGGCCTTGAACACCTCCAGGGAGGGGCATCCACAACATCACTGTTCCAATGTCTCGCTGCCCTCACAGCAAAGGATTTCTTTCTAATATTTAATCTAAATCTCCCCTCTTCCAGCTTAAACTTCCCCTTGTCCCATCACTACCTGCCCTTCTAAAAGGTCCCAGCCCAGCTTTCCTGTCAGCTCCCTTCAGGTACTGGAAGGGCTATAAAGCCCCCATAGAGCTTTCTGTTCTCAGGCTGAAGAGCCCCAGCTCTCTCAGCCTGTCCTCATAGTGGATGTGCTCCAGCCCTCTGATCATCTTTGTGGCCCTCCTCTGGACCCTCTTCAGTAACTCCAACGTGTCCTTCTTGTGCTATGAGCTCCAAAACGATGCAGTACTTCAGGTAGGGTCTCATGAGAGCAGTGCAGAAGGGTAGAATCACCTCCCTCACCCTGCTGGTCACACTGATCTTGATCCAACCTATGGTTGGTCTTCTGGGCTGCAAGCACAGATTGTCAGCTCATATTGAGTCTTTCATCAACCAACACCCCAAATCCTGCTCTCAAACCATTCTTTGCCCAAAGTGCAACTGTGCTTCAATGGACCTCAGGTTCTCTTAGGGTCATAGAATCGTGAAAGTTGGGATGGACCTCCCAGATCCCCAAACCTAACCCATCCCCAGTGTGCCCACTGACTGTGTGCCTCACTGCCACATCCCCATGGTTCTTGGGGTCCCATCCTGCCTGGCAGCTGGGTGCTTGGCCTAGCAGAGGGACACAACCCTGTGTGCAAGGGGAGTGGGATACTCCAGCTCGTGTTTCCAAAAATTCAGAAATGGGGATCTGATTCTTTTAAAAAGATACAAAATTTTGTATTTGACTCCTTGAACCCTTTCCTGGCTGGTGCAGGAAGGTGCTGCTTGTCCTGCAAGCACTGCTGTGATGGGGATGTGGGGCACATGAGGGTGGGAGGCACTGGGCAGAGTGTGGGCTCTCATTGCTGCTCTTTTGGGGGTTGGGTGCTGCCTGGAGAGCTGGACAAAACCTGAGCTGGGGGGAATCAGTTGTGGGATGCTCTGTGTTGTGAAGCCCTTCTTGGGATTAAGGTGAAGAGCAGCCAAGAGCCAAGTGTCCCCATGTCCCTATGTCCCCAGGGTGGCTGTGATCCCAGTATGATGCTGCAGTGCCCAGTTCCAGCATACAGAACAGGTTGGAGCTGGAACTGGAGCCAGCAGAGGGAGCAGAAACTCCTCCAGCCCAGAGGCAGCGGGGAAAGGAGCTGCCACTGGGATGCTCTGCTCTCCCAGGGGGATTTTTCCTGGCCCTGGGGTTGAATGCAGGGGGTTCTGTCCTCTTGTCCCATCCAGGCTTCCTGCTTCATTCCTTCTGCTGCAAAATGCTCCTATGGAGCAGGGAGAGCAGTGCCACCAGAAAGAAAAAGCAACAAGTAAAAGTGAAAACAAGCTGCTTTGGGCCCCTAAAAGCCACAAAAGCAAAATAGGGACTCAGCTCTCATTTGTTTAATAGGGAAATCATTGGCATGTTCTTATCAAGCCACCCTCCACCCCCAGCCAGCTGGCCTCCTGCTCATGCCTTTAGCTGCAATTTATCAATTCTCATTTGGGTTTATTAAAATCCCCTCTGGGGGCTGTGCAAGCAAAGTGAGCTGAGACGTACACAGATCAATCAGAGCACAGTCCCCGTGTCACATCTCTCGTCCTGCACCACCCAAACACATCTGCACCCACGCACAGTGCATGGACCATGGCTGCTGCTGCTGTAGGACCCTGAGCTGGGAATGGGGGTGGGATGCAGAGATCAGGCTGCAGCATCACTGTGCTCCCTTCTGATGGGGATAAAGGAGCACGGGAAGGGGGAAGGGGGAGATGGAGGCGCCTGGGTGTAAACACCCCCCAGCCAGAGGATGATGATCTGGTTGTCAATGTAGGACAGAAGAGCAGAGCTGGGGGTGGACGGGGCTGGATTGGGCCAGAGCTGCTCTAAGGAAGGAGTGGGTGGCACAGAGCAGCAAGCAGGGATCGGTGAGAGCAGCACAGACCTGAGGCTCACAGGAGGGTGTATGGGGGGAACAGGGGAGCTGCCAGTGACCCAGGCCCAACACTGATGTGGTGGGCTGCTCTGGGAAGCAGGTGGAGGTCTAGGGGAGAGGATGCGTTGGGGCAGGACCTCAGGGGTCAGCACACAGCCAGGGGGTAGCACAGGTGAGGGTGTGGGCCCCCATAGCAGGGTGAGGGGCTGCAGCAGTGTGGGGAAGGGGTGGGCAGCCTGGGTGAGCTTGGAGGGGGGAGGAAGGCGGTCCTGGGGGGAGGCTGCAAGGGGGTGGAGTTGCTGGTTTTTCTTTGAACACGGGGAAGACTTGAGCTGGGAACTTGCATCCGTGGAGCTCCCAGCTAGCAGGCGTCAGCCCCCTGCTCCTGCTGAGGGCCCCCATTGCTTTGGGGTGGCAGAAGGGCAGGGAGCATGAGGCCGCCTCCTGCTGCCTTCCTCTGCCCCGTGCCCCCTTCTCCTTCCCTCTCCGTGCTCGGGTGACCGTGCTGAGCTGCTGGTGGCAGCTGGCAGCCTGCCGCCCCTCTCTGCACACCTTTCCTTCCCTTCCAGCCCAGACGTCAGGAGCAGACAGGCAGGAGGTGGCACGGAGGAACCTGCGGGATGTGAGCGCAGCAGGGGAACCGCCAGCTCCATCCCACCTTCCTCCGACGGTTGGGACCCCGCATAGACCATGAATGGATCCTTCTTCAACCAGAGCCTCCTGGAGCAAGGAGCATACCCCAACAGGACCCGGGGTTTGGGGCTGCTCCTGGCCTGCTGCAATGGGACCGGCTCGGTGCTGGCACCTGACGGTGGCTCCTCGGTGCTGGCACCCGACGAGCGCAGTCTGTACATCACACGGGTGGTGCAGATCGCCGTCCTCTGCGTCCTCTCCTTGACTGTGGTGTTTGGCATCTTCTTTTTGGGCTGCAACTTGCTCATCAAGTCGGAAAGCATGATTAACTTTTTGGTGAAGGACCGAAGACCTTCCAAGGACGTGGGAGCTGCGATCATGGGGCTCTACTGATGCCGTGGGGCAAGTGTAGGCAAGTGGCTGGAGCTGGTGCTGAGATGCACGTACCCATGTGTTCGGGGCAGCTGGGGGGAGTGGGGAAGGGGGGATGATGTCTTTTCGTGTGTCTGTGTCCATGGGAAAGCAAATCAGTGCTTCCCAGTCAGCAAACTCCATTGTGGTGAATGGGGAGATGTCCCCAGCGCTGCGTGAAGCGCAACGACCAGCATCGTGTTGCATGCAGAAATGGCTCAAGTTTTGCATGAAACTTGCAGAAACGGTGATAATGTGCAGATCTGGACTCTTGTCTGCTGTTACCTTGGATACCGCCTCTTGGGATTTAGGGCTAAAAAAATAAAAAGTGAAAGATAAAAAGAAAAAAAAAGAGAGCAAACTCACTACAGAATAAAAAGAAACGATGAGGGAAGTGGAGTGTGTGGCATAGACCACATCTTTGTCCATGGGGTAGGGGAAGGGAAGGGCCGTGTGAGTCGGACAGCAAAGTCTGCATGCTATGAAACGTGTCAATCTGTTGTGTTCCGGACCTCAAGCATGCACCGCCGGGTGGTTTTGTAACAGGGAGAGCATGTTCCTCCTCGATTTCTGAACTGTCCTGTCAAATAAAATGCAGATTTCCTCTTTCACACTGTGCCAGAGGAAGAAAAGAAAACCCCCATAAACACCAAAACCACTCCATCCTCTCCAAAAAAGCATGTTTGTTTTGTACGTAGTGGCTATTTTTCCTCCCCCAAGTGCTGCATTGTTATGGTTTTTGAGGTTTTTGTAGCTTTTCTTGAGAACTTGTGAACAGTCAGGGAGAAAAAGGGAAAAAAAAAAAAAAAAAAAGAACCTGTTTCAAAAGAATTTGGTGTTGTCTTCATTTTCTTTCCCTTTGTGTGCAGAGCTCAGGTATTTCAACCCCAGTTCCAGAGGTTAAATATAGCTGTCCCACCTTCCAGCTGAACTCCAATTAAAGGTTGTTATTTCAAGCAGAAACTAACATGCTTTTTGCTTTCCAAAGGCAAATATCCTTTTCCTGAGCAAATAAATTTGACAGGAACGATGTGCTCTGGCTGTGTGTTAAATACCTACACAGCATCAAAACACAGAGATGCGTAAGGACGCGCCGAACACATCTTGCAAAGCATCATTTCTGACTCTGATTGAAATCTCCATCTCCTCTGATCCTGATGAGCTGTCAGAGCTAAATTGTGTGAGAGGAGGAAGACTCCCAGCCTTTGTTCTGTGATGGAATTACAGCCCTGTCTGCGGGTGTGAGATGGAAATAATGTGAGTTTTGTTGCGCCAACAATATCCCTGCTGTGTCTGCAGCTGTAGTGGGAAAACACTCCCGGGTCCAGCAGGAGCTGCTGATTTGATGGACGTGGATGTGAATCCAGAAGGACAACTCTCTGCCTTTCCCAGTTGCAGGAGCAGGATTGTGGCAGGGTTTGTAATTAATCAGTGTTTGCTGAGCACCTTCCTCAGGGTTCCCATGGGGTATTGGTGGGGCGCAGAGTGAGATGAACGCAGTGCTGTCGCTGATTGCTCTCAGTGTGCAGAGGCAATGTGGCAGCACGACCAGAGTCTGTAGGGTCACAGGTACAGGAGGTGGAGGAGCAAAGCCCCACCAGGAGGGGAGACCTTCCCTATGGATCCCAGGGGATGAGCCCAAATCTATGTTGGTTTATTCATCCTCTGCTCACGGCCCTTTCTTGACCATAAGGGCTACGTCTACACAACCAGGTGGTGGGGACCAACAGAAGGTGCTGCAGCATGGAGCACTGCTGGGCACCATCCTCATAGAATCAGAAAGGTTGGAAGAGACCACTGAGGTCACCAAGTCCAACCGTGCCCCACAGCATGTGTCCCCACATTGTGGCTGGGGTTCTGTCTTGCTTACAGTGAGTTGAGAGCATCTGTGAGCAAATCCCCTTCCCTTGAGATTCCCAATACAAAAACGATCGCTCCATCAAGAGGGGGAAATATTTGGGGATTCTGGAGGACTGATGTCAGCACTGAGAAAACAAGAAGGTAGGAGACACCCAGACAGTGAGGTGCTTGCTCCAGGGCTTGCATAAGGATGGCAGCCCACAGTGGCTCCTTCTGCAGCCCTTTGCCCACAAAGAGCCTTTCTTCCTCATCCCACCTCCTGCCCACCCATTTAGCTGAAGCTTGTGAGTGGGTATTGACTCCCACAAAATTTTTAAGCAAGTTTTTTTTAAAATTTTTTATATTTTATATCTTCTTGAGAGAGGACATTTTAACATTATTTTGCTATTTTTTTTTAATAGTTCATTAGCTGCCAGAACATCCTGGTGTGCCAGGAGCTGTGCAAGTAGGACTGAGTGATAATGCTGGCTGTACTGTGCAGGGGAGAAGACAAAGAGGGAACCAGCACATCAGGGGCAGAGTGAGGATCAGACATTGGGACTCACTTAAACTCATCTCCTGGCGGTGGAGCTACCACAACCCACAGCCACACTGACCAGTGGGACTGGTGGGCTGAGCCACATGTCCTCCTGGTTACACCTTTTTGATGAGAACAGTTTGGGTTTTATCATAAAATCACGGAATGGCCTGGGTTGAAAAGCACCACAAGGATCACCTGGTTCCAACCCCTGCTATGTGCAGGTTGCCAACCAGCAGCCCAGGCTGCCCAGAGCCACATCCAGCCTGGCCTTGAATGCCCACAGGGATGGGGCATCCACAGCCTCCTTGGGCAACCTGTTCCAGTGCCTCACCACCCTCTGGCTGAAAAACTTCCTCCTCATATCCAACCTAAACCTCCCCTGTCTCACTTTAAAACCATTCCCCCTTGTCCTATCACTGCCCACCCTCATGAACAGCCATTCCCTCCTCTGTTATAAACTCCCTTCAAGTATTGGAAAGCCACAATAGCAGTGCATGGATGATTAAACAGTCCTGCTAATGGGAAACTGCACGAGCAATCTGCTCTGGACCTTCGTGGTCCTCCTCCAGGAGCAATCCCCATTGTGGGAACTCTGTTCCAGCTACAATTACTTATTTCTACACAGCCATCAGAAGAAGGCAGGTGTGAGAGCATTTCCTCCTGCAAACAGCAAGCCTCCACCTGTTTGCACCATTGGAGAAATGAAGAGATGCCTTGACCCAGCGGTGACAACCAGCAGCCCTGGCCATCCCATCCTATCTGCAGGTGTGAGAAACCCAAAGCAGCTCCCAGCCCCTGCCCCAGCAGCTCAGCTTGGGGGCAATGAAAGAGTTAAACGAGATGAGACAGACAAACAGATTAAGGGGAGGGAGGATCCCTACCTGAGCCTGGCACCAGATGTACCAGAGCGCGTGCACCAAACATACACAGTATTTAATAATTCCTGCGAATTGCCATGGTAATGAAGCGCAGAGTCAGGTTGCCATGGCAACCACCTTTTTTTTTTTTTTTTTGAGGCAGGGAGGCATTACTCAAGTTGTAACCTCAATCCAGACAGAGCACGTTTCTGAGAGGAACCCCCCCCCCAAAAAAAAAGTAAAAAAAAAAAAAAGAAGTGAAATAAAATCTGATTAGATAAGTAGCAGTTTCCTGTCTCTTGTCTGGCAGTTCTGGGCTTGTTCTGTAGGTAGGTGGAGGGAACCAGGATGCTACACAGCTCTCAGAAAAGCCTTGGAGCATCTCCACAAACAGAGTGCTGCTGGGTGCTGGGCTGGGACCCTCTTGTGGCGGTCTGGGATACTCTGATAACTCCTGGTTTCCATCCCAGCCCCTGGCATGGCTTCAGGGTCTCCCCATAGAGACACGAAAAGTCCATGAGCATCTCTCCAGGTGACAAGCCCCCATCCCAGCCAAGCCCAGTGAGGGATGCTGTGGTCCCATCTCCCTGCAGGTGAATCATAGAATCACAGAATGGCCTGGGTTGAAAAGGACCACAATGATCATCTGGTTCCAACCCCCTGCTATGTGCAGGTCGCCAACCAGCAGCCCAGGCTGCCCAGAGCCACATCCAGCCTGGCCTTGGATGCCTGCAGGGATGGGGCATCCACAGCCTCCTTGGGCAACCTTTTCCAGTGCCTCACCACCCTCTGGCTGAAAAACTTCCTCCTCATATCCAACCTAAACCTCCCCTGTCTCACTTTAAAACCATTCCCCTTGTCCTATCACTATCCACCCTCATAAACAGCTGTTCCCCTCCTGCTTATCTGCTCCCTTCAAGTACTGGTGCCTGCATCCTAGCACTGAAGATCTCCAAGATGGGATATGGGGGCTGGCAACAGGTGCAGAGCACTCTCCCCAAACTACACCTAAGAGGAAAGCACGTGTTCCCTGAGCTCTGGCAAAGTCCCCATGCTATGGGCTCTCTGAAGAGGAACCCATCAAGCTGGAATGGAAATCTGTGTGCTCATCCCTCCTATCAATGGGCAAACAAATGCCACCTCCACCTCCTCTCCCCAAGCTGCCACTCCATGGAATGTATTCCAGGTTTGTCCTGCCCCTTGTATTGAATTTTAACCTAACACTGGGCAAACCGGCAGCTCTGGGAGCCTTGTTCTTATGAAGGAGGCTGAAGCAGAGTGTGCAGGGTTTGCTTAGTAGGGAGATGGCCTGAAATACACAGTGTAATGATTCAGGAACATTGGATCCTGCATCCCCACTGCTGCCCAGCATGGTTCTCTTGCAGTGTCTATGAGAGAGCCATCAGCCCCCAGACAAAGCCTCTGTGGTTCATTAGCTCTGATGAAGGGACAAGTTGATGCCACAGCAATCTGTGCCCAAGGGAGAACTGAGATCAAATGATGATAAAATTGAGGAGCCTCACTGCAGTGAAGGCTTTGAAAGGGGTTTCTCCCTCTCGCTCTTTGCTGAAGCAGAGCCCTTCTGGGTCTGCACAAGCATTCAGAATCCTCAGTGCAAAGCATGGACCTTACAGCTCACTGCTGGTCACTGGGGCTTGACTGATGATGCTATTAACTTGTGAGGGTGGTTCAGATCCACATCAACAGCTCTGGCCCACACAGTCCCTGGGCAGTGGCAAAATAACAGTTACAGAGCACAGTGCTCTCAGGGATATTGCTTTGGACAGTGCTGTCTGTGAGGATCTCATTAGGTTTGATGGTTTTGCAGGGGCCACATGCCAATGCAGGCATCTCCAAAGCAGTTTTTTGGCTTTCTGAATCCAAGTATGGATGAGAAGTTGGAAACTCCAAGGTTTGGACAAACACTGAGCCCAGTGAAGCACAAAACAGCCTCAGCATCTCTGACAATTCCCTGTTTTATGGTGTGGGGTGAACCTTCGGGTTTCCACCAGTTCCCCCACTAAAATAGCTTAGCCAGGACATTCCCCAGCAGTGTGGCCAAGTTTGTGTTCCTCTGATTTTACAATCAGACTTCTTCTTGGACTTTTTTATTCCATCGAGACACAATGATGGAAAATGAAGTTCAGAGAGAATCAGAATATTGCCAACAATCAGTACGGTTTGGCACATCCCTGAAGATATCACATCACCATCAAAGTGCTGGAAGGAAGAAGGGGCACTGACAGTGCTCAAAGACATGAGGAAATGTAAAGTGGCTGCCTCTGATCTGAAGAACACTGCTCTGCATGTGGTTCGGGTTGTAAGTGTAACAGAAGTCCT